TAAGGAAGGAGCTTGAAAAATCCCTCCATTTCTCCTTTCTTCCCCTTTTCGTTGTCTCTTATGGACTGAATGTATCCCTCCAAAATTCATGCTGAATCCCCGACCCCAAAGGTGATTATTTACAGAAAGAGGGCCTTTAGGAGGTAATTGAAATTGAATAAGTTCATAAGGGTAGGGTCCTCATCCCATAGGATTAGTGTCCTTATAAGAAGAGACGCCAGAGAGTGCTCCCCAATCCCCATGTGAGAACACGGAGAGAAAGCGGCCATCTGCAAGCCAGGAAGAGGGTCCTCACCAAGGACCAAACCCTGCCAGAACCTTGATCTTGGACTTCCAGCCTCCAGAACTGTGAGAAAATAAATAAAAAAATAAAAGCAGATGGCAGGAGCCGCGGTAGCCCTCATGGGCCATGAGAAGGAAGCCCTGTGTTTTTGTTTTGTTGTTGTTGTTGTTGTTTTAGTAGGCTTCACACCCAGTGTGGAGCCCATTGCGGGGCTTGAACAAATGATCCTGAGATCAAGACCTGAGCTGAGATATAGAACAAGATGCTTAACCAACTGAGCCACCCAGGCGCTCCCAGAGCTGCTATTCTAACTAAAACAAGGAATGAAAATCCTCCCTGGGATCTCATGACACAGAGATCCCTGGTGACCTTGGGAAGAGTTGCCTCAGCAGAGTGGTAAGGACCAAAGGCACTGAGAGAGGTAAGGAGGCGGACATGCGTGTGCGGGCAGCACTTTCGTGAAGTCTGGCTGTGATGGGGAGGAGAGGGATGGGGTACCGGCTGGAAGAGGGGCCCGTGGAGTCCAGTGGCAGCATGCAAGCCAAATCTCGCTTGCTCAGATCTCCCTGGTAGAAAGAACTTGCTGATGAGCTGTGAGGAACGCAGGCAGCTGACAGACTCCAGTTCCAGCACCTTCCAAGGCCTGAGCATCTGAGCCAAGGCGTCACTTCCCAGACATTCTCCAGCCAGTGACAGATAGGGAAACCAGGGCCTGACCATTTCTACCCTGAGGACCCACTAGCCACAGGTTGAAAGGGTTTTCTGTCATTTGCTTGTCATGACAGAGACCCGAGGATGCTCAGAAGCCCCGTGTGAAGAATCCAGTTGGGAAAGAGCAGCTGACTATGGGGGAGAGAAGATGCACAGATGGAGAGAGGGAGGTCTTTGACAAGGCAGAAGGACATGGGGTCTGGACTGTGGGGGAGCAGTTCGGTCAGGCCAGGGGAGGAAGAAAGAGGCAGGAGGGAAGGAGGGATGGGTGCAGACACACGAGGGTGTATAGCTTTGGGAGCGAGGTGATGGCAGACCTCCCTGCAGAGAGTTTTCTCTTTCTCCAAGAAATAGGAAGCAAGATCAGGCCCAAGAGCTAGGAAACAGTCCTTCGAGACACTGTGTCTCCCTTTGTCTGTTTTAGCCTTGTCTTCCCACCTGCAGGATAAACGATTTGGACTACACCCCTGGTTCCCAACCATGTTTGGTCCTCAGGAGCTTTTCAAAAATACACTTTTGGGGGACCCTATCCGTGAATCTCCATAGCAGAAATGGTGGGGGCAGGAATCTGTATGTATTTTTAAAGTATATATAAAGGGGGGCTAATGTGGATACACAGCCAGGTTGGGGAAGTGCCCTGCGGGGGTGCTCCGGCTTTGAGAGTTTGTGGTTCAGGCAGCGGGAAGGAGCACAATTCCAGCACAGCATTTTATGGAAGCCGCAAGCTATAGAAGAAGCCACATGCCACTTTATTTATCTTTTTTTTTAAAGATTTTATTTATTTATTTGAGAGAGAGAATGAGAGACAGAGAGCACGAGAGGGAAGCTGGTCAGAGGGACAAGCAGACCCCCCGCTGAGCAGGGAGCCCGATGTGGGACCCGATCCCGGGACTCCAGGATCATGACCTGAGCCGAAGGCAGCCGCTTAACCAACTGAGCCACCCAGGCGCCCCACCACATGCCACTTTCTGTCGCCCACAACTACAAAAGCCCCAAAGCTCAAAAGGCACCAGAACTCAAGAGGAATAACAGTAAGGCAAAATGAGCAGCAAGATCAGAGGCCCTACCTGCATGGGAAGCCCAGCACACACACTCTGGCTCCTGTGAAACAGAAGAAGGAAGAGCCTGCAAGGAACAAGGAAGAACCCCCACCCCCCTCGTGGGACGTGGGTCAGGGCTTGATCGAGGGGATTCCCCAGGGCAACAGGATTAAGGGTTGGATAAGGCTATTGCAGGAGCTCAGGGATGCTTGGCCAAGCTGCCTTTCTGAAACCCGAGCCCTGGGCTAGGAGGAAGGGGAAGGAGGGGCTGCCTGGCCCTGAGAGTCCACGCCTGTCCCCCCACCCCTGAGCTCCTCCTCTGCCTGGGTGCCCCTTCTCTGGGGCTGCTTCAGACTGTGCAGGTCACCTCCACTCTCCCTTTGCCTCCCTCTGCCCCTGAGGTCGGGTGGGGACAGGCTGGGGCCACCAGCCAGCTCCATGGACGGGGACTTTGCCTCTGCTCATCTTCCAGCTCTGGAAAGAAAAGAAGAAGAAAGGTCTGTGTCCATTCGCGTTTGGGGACTCCTTCCCCCTCCTAAACTCCTGGGGGCAGAAAAGGTGATTTGAGATTTGATCTTGGATTGACTGTGGAAGAGGGGACAGAAAGAGCCCAGAACATTCCCCCAGGTATGAATACTTCACTTTTGCTGGTGTGTGTGTGTGTGTGAGAGAGAGAAAGAATGACAAGTTCTCTACTGGTCAGATGTGGAATTACCTTTGATGGTCTCCTGGGCCCCTTCTGACTGCTTCATTCTATGATTCTGCAGCTCTAAACTTCATTCAGTCATTCAACAAACATTTCCTGAGTACCCACCCTGTGCCAGATGCTGCCATTGAACAAGATCTGGCCCCTGCCCTTAAAGGTCCACAGAGAGTAGTAACAATAAAATAGCTACCACATTTATGGTGGGCCAGGCACTGGGCTAAACCTTTTATAAACTTTAGCTCCTTTAACACAGCAACAATTGTTAGAGTGAAGTGTATTACTAGCCCCATTTTACAGATGAGAATAGTGAGGCTTATTGAGGTGAGGTCACACAGCTAGTAGGTGGTGGAGCTGATGCTTCTAAGCACTGTGTTATGCTGCCCTCTCCCCTCCCCCCCCCAGCTGTAAAGGCAAAAGGTGCACTAATAAAGGGTGGGGAGGGAGTGTGAGCGCTTCAGAGAGTCACAGTTCATGGAGGGCAGGGAACAGTTAAGCCTCATTTCCACCTGGGGTCCCAGGGGGTGAGGCAGGGGCAGGCCCAGATCACTATGGAGCCCCTCAGCAAAGATTGGCCCATGGCTGCCCCCCTCCTCATAGTCCTCAACTCCCCATCTCCCAGCTGTCCCCAGGTCAGGCAGAGAGAAGACAAAAGCTGATTATTCCACTGGGGGCTGTACTGAGCCCCATGAATGGAGTATTGAAAACCCCGTGTCCACATCCAGATAGGTTTTCAATCCTTCCCCAACCAGACTGTTTGTATGCCAGGAGAGAGGCCAAGCCTGGGGTGGGTGGGGGAGATGGGGGCTGTCTCCTGTTGGGAGGTATCTCCCTCTCAATATATCCCAAACAGGGGCGCCTGGGTGGCTCAGTTGTTAAGTGTCTGCCTTTGGCTTAGGTCATGATCTCAAGGTCCTGGGATCAAGCCCCGCATCGGGCTCCCTGCTTAGCGGGGAGCCTGCTTCTCCCTCTCCCACTGCCCCCTGCTTGTGTTCCCTCTCTCGCTGTGTCTCTCTCTGTCAAATAAATAAATAAAATTAAAAAAAATATATATATATATATCCCAAACAGACCTATCCACTAAACCAGACCCCCATCTCCCCCCAACCATCCCACTACTATCCACACACTGTGTCAGACTCCTGCTGAAGGTCTGCCAGGAAAGGGAACATGGGGTCTTACCGGGATGCTGCTTACATGGTGTGAATGTTCACTGAGCTCTACACTTCCAATTTATGCACTTTGGGGCTTGTATACCTCGATCCAAAATTAATTAATTAATTAAAGATTTTATCCATTCATCTATTTGAGAGGGGATGGGGAGAGGGACAAGGAGACTCTGCGCTGAGTGCAAAGACTGACTCGGGGCTCGATCCCACAACCCTGAGACCATGACCTGAGCTGAAATCAAGAGTCGGAGGCTTAACTGACTACGCTACCCAGGCACTCCCCAAATTTATTTATTTATTTTTAAGTCATCTCTATACCCAACGTGGGGCTCAAACTCATGACCCCAAGATCAAGAGTCACATGCTCTTCCAACTGAGCCAGCCAGATGCCCCTACTCAATCCAAATCTTAAAAAAGCATCTTCCAGGGCTTCCTACCCCGAAAGGGCAGAGCATCCCAAATGTCATCTACTCTCCCACCCCTTCACCATTTTGGCATATTTGAGAGTCATGGGAACCATATTTCCTTGATTTTTTTCCCCCTTAAATTGACTCATTTCTTCTGATTTAAATTAACTTTAAAGAGAAACTTTATATTGCCCCCAAGTAAATGGAAAACAGAAGCCTTTTCAAAAAGAGAAAGCACTCTAAAAAAAAGAAAAGAAGAAAAGGAAAAGAGTAAACATTCTTTTATCGCCCACTAAAATTATGTGGATTACCATCAGTGGAACCAACACCGGGCTTTGGGATGCGCTGGGCCCTCCGCACAACCTTCGAGCCTGTCTTGGTCTGGGACCAGGCAACCCTCCATCTTTGTCTCCTGCCACTTGCTCTCACACACCCTCGGCTCCAGCCAGACCTAGCTCCTCATTAGGGTCCTGTGCCCCATCCTTCCCAGAGGTCCCAGCTGTTGCCCCTGCTGCTGCCTCTTCTGGAATGCCAGATCCGAGCGGAAATGTCACACAACCCCTGAAGCTCTCGCTGGGCCCCTTCCACCTGAAAGAAGTGACTGGGGATCTTTAATTCCAGATGTTCCATCTGTGATTCCTCCACCGCCCCTTGATGGGACCCTCTGAAAGGCCATCCCCCGGCTGGATGCACAAGGAAGCAGAGATGCGAATTGGTCCCCAGACGGCAGAGAAGAGCAGGGGGTGGAGGCCCGGAGACAGGAGCAAGGCCCCTTCATCCCTCCCCCCAGCCCTGTCCTTCCTCCTCTTCTTGCCGCTGGGTGAGTGCCCTCCCCGAACCCCTGACCCTTCCCCTTTCTGGCTCTCAGTTTTCCCAGCTGTAAAATTATGGTGGGACGTGGTTTGTTAATGAGGTGGTTTCCATAGTTCTTTCCAGATGCAAGCTAAGAGTCTTCGTTGGGGAAGTGGAGGGCTGAGTGCTGGAAGTGAGGGCTCAATGTATGCAGAGTCTGGGCAGTTAGGGGACATTGGAAATAGGGAAGGAGGGAAAGGAGTGGGCTCAGCAATGGCTGTTCAAAAGGCAGCTGGTGGGATACATAGAACCAAACGACCTAGGGACGATCCTAACTTGAGAAAGAAGAAACTGAATCTCAGTTTCTTCATCTGTAAAATGGATACACTAGTACACACCTCGGAGGACTGTTGTAAGGATCCTATGAGGTGTCACGAATGTGTCTGAGAACTGTAATACCCTGCATATAAGCGAGGCGTTGTTATGGGGTTTTCCATTTCCCAAACTAGTTTCCCTGTTTACCTCCCCGCCTCTCAGGCCATGTGCCCAGAATTGTGTGGTGAAGAAGAGTGTGGCTGTCTAGGTTGGAATCCCGGCTCTACTCCCTGTTCGCTGTGTGGCCTTGAGCGAGTTGCCTAAACTCACTGAACCTGACGTTCCCCTTGTGCGCAATCCTACCCACCTCCTATGTCGTCCTAATGGTTAAGTGAGCCAGGCCACATAAAGCGATGAGCACAGTGCCTGGCATATACATACATGAGGGCTGAAGCAGAAGGTCTTGTATAGGTATAGGTAAATCTTTTGGGGGATATCCTAATGAATCCCAAAGCCAATTGACACACTTAAGGCAGAGCTACTGACCATCTGCCCAGTCATAGGCTTGGGGTGGGGGACGGGAAACACCGAGATGAGACAGGCATGGTCACCTCACCAGGCAGAAGGCTCAGAAAGGGCCATGAAGATGGTGCCCAGGGATTCGGAGGAAACAGAGAGCACTTCTAGCTGAGGGTTCCAGGAAGGATTCCCAGGGGAGGGGGCTCCGAGCTGTATCTGGAAGGAGCTGCAGGGCCATAATGAGCAAAACTGTTCAAGCAGAGGAGACTGCAGGGCTAAAGACCCAGAGACAAGACTGGTGGGATATAAAGAAGTCCAGGGGGGAGGCGGGTGCCTGGCTGGCTTAGTAGGTAGAGTGTGTGACTCTTGATCTCAGGGGTTGTGAGTTTCAGCCCCACTTTGGGTGTAAAGATTACTTAAAAAAAAAAAAAGTTTCAAAAAAAAAGTTAGGGGAAGCTTGGTCAGAAGGTACTAGAAGGCTTTGTAGAGAAAGCTCAGGGTCTGGGACTCCTGCGGGAAATGGAGAGTCTCTGAGGAACCTCAAAGTGGAGGGCGATAATCAGACCCCTGTTTCAGGCGGATCTCTCTAGGGTGATGGGAGAGGGGTGAAGCAAGGAGGCCCACTGGGACAGTCTGGGGGAGAGAGCAGAAGCTTGGAGCAGGCAGGGGAAGTGAAGAGGTGGGGGATGATGGTAAGGACCATGTGGGGAGGGGAGGCAGTGTTCCCAGGGCCAGGCCACCCGGGGAACAGGGTAGAAGGGCCAATGCTCTTCCTTGTTCTGTTTCAGCCAGTGCCCTACAGCCCACGCCACTGCCCTTTCCAGGTAGGTGCCTCTGCCCCTCCAACCCGCACCCTGCCCTGCCCCCCATGTACTCAGATGCTCAGACAGATCCTCAGGGAATGATGGCTAACAGGCCCTCCATAACTCTAGATGCCCCCACACGGATTGTGCTAGTCTCCCCATTTGATAGAGAGGGAGAAATAAAGTCCTGAAGGGACTGATCCTAAGGCTCCCATGCTTCCATGACTTCACAGCAAGGTGGGCGTCCTGCAGGTCAGGCCCAAGCGATCCCTCTGGTGCCAGCTCAACCCTCTCCACAGAGCTGAGGCTGGTGGGGGGCCCGAGCCGCTGCCAGGGGCGCCTGGAGGTCTTGCACGGTGGCTCCTGGGGCAGCGTCTGTGACGATGACTGGGATGTGGTGGATGCCAACGTGGTGTGTCGACAGCTGGGCTGCGGCCTGGCGCTGCCCGTGCCGCGGCCCCTTGCCTTCGGCCAAGGCCGAGGCCCCATCCTGCTGGACAACGTGGAGTGCGGCGGGCAGGAAGCCGCCCTGAGCCAGTGCAGCAGCCGAGGCTGGGGCGTTCACAATTGCTTCCACTACGAAGACGTGGCTGTCCTGTGCGATGGTAAGCCGAGACCCCTGACCGGGGAGGGCAGGCAGCAGGGCTGCAGGCTGGATGAATGAAGGGACTTCCACGCGGAAGACCAAGCCGGGGGTGGCGCTGCTTAGTGCTGGCGAAGAGCCCCAGCCTAGTTGTCAGGGTCCCAGTGGTCCTTCTGCTTCATTGTGTGATCTTGGCTGAAAGGAAAACCAGCACTATTGTTTCTATGTAGGGCCTTGATTGTTCCAGCAGAGGCCTCTCTCCATTTTTAAAATCAAACAAGCGGGGTCAACACTGGCAGCAAGGTCCATTTGGTGTGGGGCTGCCGCAGAAATCGCTGAGAGGCATTGACCTTGAGAGTAATGGTTCTAGTTTTCCAAGAAAACCCCCTGGTGGTCTCATTAAAACACAGACTGTGGCTCCAACCCAGAGTTTCTGATGCTGCAGGTCTGGGGTGGGGCCTGGGAATTTGCATTTCTAATACGTTCTCAAGTAATGGGATGCTGCTCTAAGAACTAAAAGAACTCGTCTGAAGCTACTGCTTTCTGGACTCAGGGGCCCCCTTCTCCTCTCACACCCCAGGGTTCCTGGCTTTGACCCTTTGTGTGGCCAGAGGCCCTATGGCAGGTACCAGCAGCAGCCCTGCTGCTAACACACCCGTGGGTGTGAGGATGAAGAACAGAAAGATCCATGTATCCTCCTCCCTTCCACCCTGCTTCCTTCCCAGAATTCTTGCCCACGCAGCCCCCAACAAGGAAAGTGTTCACCAGTAGGGTGCCCCCTACAACTCCCCAGAATGGGAAAGGTAAGTAAGGGCAACATGGGGGACCACCTGGGTCTTAAGAGAAGGACCCCAAGGGGAGTCTCCCATATCTACCCTTGACGGTGGGAAGAGAGGGATAACCAATGGGTGAGCTGGGTCATTCCCTCCCCATCCTGCCCCTCACAGCCCCCCAGGCTGCTCACAGTCTGGATGGGGAAAGAGGAGTCCCTTCCCGTGGGATGATTAAAAATAGTCAGCACAAGTTTAGTGAGAGAGGTGAGGACCCGAGCTTAATCCAATGGGAAAGTCAGATATGTACAGAAATGTGGATAATGATGTAGAACAAGAAAATGGAAAGTGCCCTAAAGGATGGACAGATAAATAGGCAAGGAAGTCCTCTGCGGTTAGGATTGCTTAGGGGAGCAGGGACCAGTGCCAGGAAGGTTGGTTTCAGGCAGGAAATGACACAAAGCCAGTCTGTCCTGATCCCACAAACCTCCCCCTATCTGGGACTGTGAGGCCGCAGTGCCCTGGGGTAACTGGGTGAACCGCTCCTCCTGGGTTTTAGGTCCTGGGGCACCATGCACTGTGGGCACGTGCGGGGCCTGAGGCACTGTGGGTGCGCTGGGTCAGGTGCAATGTTGGACGGGGAGGCCGAGCCCTGTGGGAGATGCTCCCTGTCCCCACCCCCACCAGGTGAAGGCAGCGTGCGCCTGGTGGGGGGCACGGGCCCGTGTCAGGGCAGAGTGGAGATCCTGCACGGCGGCCTGTGGGGCACCGTGTGTGACGACGACTGGGGGCTGCCGGATGCTGCCGTGGTCTGCCGCCAGCTGGGCTGTGGGGCCGCCCTGGCCGCCACCACCAACGCCTTCTTTGGCTATGGCACGGGGCACATCCTGCTGGACAACGTGCACTGCGAAGGCGGCGAACCCCGCCTGGCAGCCTGCCTAAGCCTGGGCTGGGGTGTACATAACTGCGGCCACCACGAGGACGCTGGCGCGCTCTGCGC